TTCAGGGTTGACATCTCCATCTGGATGACATGTCCCAGGGCAGAGACCTGTGCCATAAGGCACAGCGGCGTGCCGTGGTTGAGATGGTCCTGGTGGTCGTAAGGGTTACACTCACATGCTCGACCACCAACCTATACAGCAGCACCTTCTCAGCCTCAGTCCAGTTAGGCTGGCATTGGCCATTACCGCTGCCAGATGTCAGCATGGCCATGCCACCCATACACAGGGGAATGTGGAGGTGGGGCCAGGCACCCCTGCACCCCCTTGTTCCCATGATGCACACCAGGCATCAGGACGAGTCCGTGGAGACAGGGGAGTTACCTGCATGGACAGGAGATAGGTAAAAGGGGGCACGCGGGGGGGCTGAGTCACAACTGGATTGACCTTATTTGACCTCTGTCTGCAGGCTCTGGCCAGAGTGCCCTGGGATGGTGCCCCCTTCTTCCTCTTCCACCTGAGCTATGGGTACAACTCATCCATCTACTGCCAGCCCTTTATGTTCAGGTGAAACTGTAAGGGTGGAAAAGGCATTATGTTCAGCAGTACTGGGCACACATCCAGATGCTGCAACTGTCAGACAGCTTCTGTGTGGATTGCTTCCACCTGGACTGAGAACCTTGGGTCAGCTCTCCAGAGTCAAGCTCCCGCTCCCTGCGCTATCCATGTTCTGCAGAATGACCAGCTGTCCCTCAAATTCCTGGCCACTGGATCATTTCAAGGAGTCATGACAGATGTCCTGGAGGTGCTCCAGTCCTTGGCAAGCTGCTGCCTGCACAGCTTCCTGAATGCCATGCTGGGCCTCCTACAGGAGGATGTGCACTTTCCTACAGAAAAGACAGAGCTGACACCCATCCGGGCAGGGTTTGTGGCAGTTTCAGGCTTCCCAAACATAGTGAGTGTGCTGTGAACTGCACCCATATTGCCCCCGTTGCCCCTGAGAGAAACCACAGGTGTACCACAACCACATCCAGGGCATTTTCACGAACCTTATGGCCAAGTTTCTGGGTAATGTCCACTTTGCACAGATCTTTGCAGCATCAGGCCTCAACAGTCTGTTGGCCTCCTGGCCAGAAGGCAAAGGATGGCTGCTGGGTCAGCAGTCTGGGTAAGGGAGGCAGGGCACCAGGTAGGGGCCCATTTATGCCAGGTGACCGTGGATATCCCCTCCTCCCTGACTTGCTGATGCCATATCCTGAAGATGAGCCATCAGACTGCACAGCGTACAACCAAGCCCACTATCAGACACGCATGTTCACTGAGTGAGCATTTTGCCAGCTGAAGATTCAGTTCTGTTGTCTCCACCATACGGAGGGGCAGCAGACCATGCAACCCCTGGCAGTTGCCAGGCTCTTTACCATCTGTGCTATGCTCCACAATATTGCCATCCGCCAACAGCTACCAGCACCCCGTGTCTGGGGATGTCGGAGTGTCCCTGGATCGGGGTGGGTGGGTGATGGCTAAGACACAGAGGAGTTAGTGGCAAGGCGGGATCTCAGAGGCCACACTGAACACAAGCGGGTACAGGAACACGTTAGCACAGGTGCCACCCAGACTGGCTTTTGGGGTGCTCAACCCTCTGGCACTCCTTGTAGGGGCCTCCCTTCTACTCCTGCCCTGGCCAGCCAATTCACAGACCAATCCATCTCAGAAAAGAGAGCTGCTCCCTGCCACCTTTCTGACATGTCCATGGACAATGAGTTTCCTCCAATGCATCACAGTGAGCTCTTGCTACACATCTGGCATCCTAGGTGCTTAGGACACCCACAGAGACCGCCCCACCCACTGTCCATGTTGGCCATTCCTGTCCTTTGCAGGGACGCCTCCCCACACGGATCAGCTGGAGTGAGACACTGGCAGGATGAGGTGTCAAGCTCCTGTCTTGCTGTTGGTTGTGCCAAAGAGAGGCAAACGCTGTTGCTTCAGAAGCCACCATTGACTAGATTCCTGGCCACAGCAGCCTAAAAGTCTTGGTCAATCATGACTGCTAGGATACTGGAAAGCCAGCGGCTTTGCCTCCAGCCCAGGTCATTTTGGAGCTATGTTGCCCACCAACAACTCTCTAGGGTGGCAAGGGAATATTGCCCATTTTATCAGGAATGCTCTAGCTGCCTGTTTGAAAAATAACACCCATTTCTCATCATCCCTATGAGGTGAGCCCATATGCATTTCTTCTCTATTTTTAACCAATAATAGGAGGGAGGAGTGGGTAGCCTGGCCACTCCCCTCTCCCCGGGACAGGCCTTTCCCCCCAGCTACCCCCGTCCAGTGGGTGCTGCCGCTGGGGTGATTCTGTAACTATGTATGATGCCTGTCAGAACTGCATTGAAACCCCACATGGAACTTTGGTGCAGTAGAGTTCCGACAAGAAATCCCAAATCACATGCCAGGTTGGACCATCTCAGTGGCCACTGGGACCCGAGTGCTCACAGTGACCCAGTCACAAACACTTCCGCTTGAGGCCAGAAGACACACATGGTCATACGCAGCACATCCATTATCAACAGGTGGGTCCTCCTAGGGGAGTTTAACCAACCCAATGTCTAATTCCCATTGCCCATTAGCATACCAGAACCCCATGCAGCATGCATTATGATGAGTCAGAGGCCCCCCGGATGCAGGGAGGGCTGCTTTTGGGGCTCTGCAGTAGGCTCCTTAGCTTGGCAATTAATGATTCCTCAGTCTGGCAATCACTTGGCCAGGTTGCAGCTGCCTAACTGTGGACAGGGGGGGTGGAAAGAAGTTTTGAAACTGACAAATGCAGCAGCATGCAACTGCGGGAGCACATGTCAGCCTGAGCCACAGAACACAGAGGAACAGGAGGGATGGCCATAGGTGCTGTGGGGGGCCTAAAAGCTGAGCCTTCCAAGGCTTCCTCCTGACCCCCCGATATTTCAGGCTTTCTCCAGAGAGCACATTAACAACCTCTTAACAAGCTGCAAATAGCGGACACCATCTCCCTCATGTTTTTTCTGAGTCAATGCTATGGTGTTGTGGGGGGGGACTTTACTGAATGGCTAATGGAGAAAGCGGCTGAGGATCCCAGACTCAACCTTCAAGGGGCCAAGGGAAGATGGACTGGTGCTCTCCTGGGGCGGTGAGCGCCCAGGTGCAGCAAAGCCACATGGAACATTGCAGGCTGGAAACACCACTCCACTCCTGCAGGTGGTCTGGGACATCAGCCACAGTGGAGTGTGTGTGGCCAAGCTAGGGTTGCCAAGTCCCCTGGACCTGCCAGTGGGGGATGAAGGGTGAACTTACCAGGAGCAGGGAGGAACGCTGAAAATAAACGTGACGTGCCTGTATCACCTGGAACTGCCTGCCCTTTCCCCACCACCAAAGTGCCTTGCCACTTGCTCTGAGTCCACATGGCAGGGAGCTCTGAGACCGAGTCCCATTCTGCATGCCCTGACACGCGGGTTGTGGGCCGTCCTGGCTTTTAAAGGGCAGGGGACGCAGCAATTGGGTGCTGGGGAGGGGTCTTGGCCACCCCAAGGGAGGAAGGGGATTGGTCATGCTCATACTTGGCATCCTGAGCTGCTTCAGGCGTCATGGGTGTGGCTGTGGTATGTTGGGCTGGCATTTGATTTTTTTAGTACGATTGATGCCTATGGGCTACACAGTGTTTTTTGTTGGCATAACTTTCCAGCTCTGACAGGGTGTCCCCGGGCTGAAAGAACTTGGGGAGCCGACTGACTCTGGCCAGGGCCCCAGAACCACCCACAGCCATGCCAGTGCAGGGGCCTACACCTCAGTTGTGCCAAGGGTCAGCTGCTGCTGGGCTGTGCCAGTGCCCAGGAGCGGTGGATCGGTGCTGGGGGCCTGCTCTGGCATAACTGGACCTCACGCTGGAGTATCGCAGAGATATGCTGGCGTAAAGGTCAGTCGGCTCCTGAGCACGCCCCTCCCCCTTAGGATCGCACTGTAAATGCTTTAAATAAAATAGAATGAGAAAGTGCACATAGGCACGAGCTTGTCTTGGTTGCCTAACAATGCAGACAGAGAATACAAACATATGGGTAAATTGGCAAGGAGGGAGGGCCATGGGTTAGCAGACACAATGCAGGCATTGAATGAGAACCCCTGGAGTCAAATTGCTCATCAGTCTGAAAAACAGCAGGAGGCCTTGTAGCTATATATGAAGAAACAGGATGTAGTTGGTTCCTCCTGATCACCTGTCTCCTTGGCTCAGGAAGATTCTGCTCCAAGGAATATAGGATGCAGTCCTTGCTGGTATTTCTAGTATTCAATTGAACTGGTTGCTACTCTACTTGCCAATGCCAGGTATGTAGGGCTTTTACTATAGAGATGCAGGGAAAGAGCCACACATTCCTATCTGCACCCATAATCATGACCAGTAAGTTTCAGCTTAGTATCAGAAGCTCAGGTTGTAGGTCAGTCTAAGTCTGGGTTGTTGGTTTTTTTATGTCCAGAAATTTCTGCAGTTCCTTTTTCCAACCAGCTGTCTTGGTGGTGCAGTTAGTAAGAAAGTAGAACTGGGAAGTGCAAAAACAGCTTGTAGTAAAAATTACCATTAAATTGAAAGACCCCAGTGGCAAAATTCCTTCAGCTTAAATCATCACCGATAAGTGGCGTACATAGTTTCCACAAGTACTTCTGAAGAAGTCCCACATGTTCCCCAGATAGTTCGTTGCAGTGATCTGGCCTACCCTGGTGTCCGATCTAAAAGCATTCTCACTTGGCTGTAACAAGGGGATAACATTTGTTGTTTCAGTGCAGCCAATAGCTACAGGCCAGATACACTGGGCACTTCAGAACCAATAGACTGTGCACTGCTGGTGAAGCAAGCCGTCAACTGGAGTGCCCTAATTCTGCTTTGCTGTAATTGTTTCATGTATATATTTTCTTTAATTCATGAGACCATCTCTTTGGTCCTCAGTGTTAATAGCTCAATCATCCTCACTGTCTGTCTGATCCCTTTTCTTGCAATACCTGTCCTGTGTGTACGGGTTTCCAGTGTAATTTTGTGGCCTGTAATGCAGGACAAGCTGGCTAAGGAGGAGCATAACAGCATTCTGAACATGAACAAGATCACCCTACAGTGGCGCACGGTGCTCCGTGAAGTCAAGGCCAGGGAGCTTCGCAAGGACATTGAGATACTGAGCCAGACCTTTGAGCGAGTAGTGGACTGCAAGGACAGTGTCATTAAGGTGAGCCCTGACCTCTAAAGAGGACTATGAAACAACAGATGGTTCTCTCAGAGCTCTCTGACAGAGGTGAACATTGTTTCTCCATAAAATACAAATTGTTGGCTCAAGCATCCTCAGTCTGCCTCCAGGCCATGCAGGGAAGAGAGAGGGTGCTTAATTCTTCTGCCTCTTCTTAGCTATGGAAATCAGGCTCCCTGCTTTATTATACACATTTTAAAGGAAGAAATTTGTGTCTTTTTTCATTGAAGCTTTGGTTCAAACAGCAAAAACAAGTTGAAGGGAGAGAATTATTTCCTTTCCCTCCAGGGCACAGAGGCAAATATTTTATGGAAATGAGACCTATCACCTTCCTCTCATCTGTCTGAGACAGCAAGAGATTGGAAAGGAAGTTTTATGCCGTTTCAAAGGTTTGTTGCTGCCATGTAATATTGGGACATAAAAGGTTAATGGACAAATAACAGGGCACAGCTGCATAACAGGAAGAAGTTGTTCCCACTTGGTACAATCTTGTTCAATGACACCTAACAGTTCTTTATTAGTAGCCTCAGTGCTAACAGCTGAAGACAGAAGTACCAGCAAGCACAAGACCCTGAGTCAGGGTGGAGTGTCAGAGCAGGTCCATACAAGAATCATTTTAGAGGCAGCAGAAATGGGAGGCTTGGAAGTCTGACTAGAGGGGACTAGAACAAGGATGCAGGGCAGGCAGAAAGATAGCAAAACTGGCATCTGGTGGTGCGGGGAGTGTAGGTGAGTAAGAGATGCCTAGAAAAATACGACAGACCTTTATTGGAAAGGCAAAAATCTACCTGTCACACTGGTAAAGGGTGAGCTGACTCTGAAGCAGCTGGGCCAGGTCAACAGAAATAAATGGGTTGCTGGAGATGAGATGGAACCACACTAGTACTTGGACAAATAATATTTTCCCTCTCTGCAAGGAAGAGCCACACATTCCTATCTGCACCCATAATCATGACCAGTAAGTTTCAGCTTAGTATCAGAAGCTCAGGTTGTAGGTCAGTCTAAGTCTGGGTTGTTGGTTTTTTTATGTCCAGAAATTTCTGCAGTTCCTTTTTCCAACCAGCTGTCTTGGTGGTGCAGTTAGTAAGAAAGTAGAACTGGGAAATGCAAAAACAGCTTGAACTACACAAAAGATGGAGAAAGTCAGAAGACTGTCAGAGAGGGCATTTTCCTGATTTCCCACATCTGCGATCACTTTTTTTGCCTAGTTAATCCCATTTCTTCTCATCTTTCATTCAAGACTCATTGCTCAATTTACCTTCTGTGAAAACAACACAATAAGAAAATGTGTAAATTAAGCAGCTATGTTGTAACATTTATTTAAAATAACAGAATTTTAAAATTGGGGGCTATTTTTATTGCTGAATCGGATTGTTCTTTGTGACAGACTGACATGACTTTTCCTGCCATGGCTTTTCTCTCTCCATCCCTCCAGTCCCTTGCCAAGGACCTTGCCGAAGCAGAAGCGCAATATGCACATGCCTTGCGCAGCCACTTGCACAGCATAGATCAATTGTTGCAGCTCCAGCACTGCCGCCTGGGCTATCTAGAGGAAGATTACCACACTGAGCTAGAGGCACTGCAGAAGGAGTTTGACACAGAGAGGTAGGAGAGAAGGAGGGCAGTGTGCCGGGGTGGGAAGGACTCATGGGCAGGTGGATGCAAAAGCATGATACATGATTCCATACTTCCCCATTTCTGCCAGGAGGAAGATTATAGAATATCATGAACAGGAGATCCGTTACCTCCAGGATGTGCTGCTGGCTATGGAACAAAACTTTGGGGAGAGTGAATATGAAGCCAAGCTGGACTTTCAGAGCACAAGGGATGATGTCAAGAACAAGGTAAGGGGATATGTTTGAACAAGCAGTAGTGAATTCAGGGATTTGTCTGGAAAGGCCAGGATTTTAAATCCTCTGTTTCATATACTTGATTCTCAGGCATCACCAACTATCCCCACTATAACTCCAGGTGTATGCCGCCTCTTGCCTGCTAGCACTAACTCCATAGTCTTTGCTTGGGTAGTTTTCCTTCAGAGATTTGTAACCATAGAGAGGGGTGGGCTGCATCCCTATTAGTGTGCTCAATATATACAGATTTCTTTTCTGTTTGTGGCTATAATCAGAAGATGGGTTGTTGCACAGCTCCCTTTAAGGCAGAACTAGACTGTACAAGGAACATGGAGCTGCTTCCATTCTGTGTCCTCTAACAACATGGACCACGATTCCCCAGTACCGTGTACTGGCTCATCACTGGGTCTGCATGGCGGGCTGGCCGGGGAGGCCACTGACATGCTTTATATTATGCTACATGATGTGACCAGGAAATGGACAAAAAGGCAGCTCCGCTGTTTTTTGTGTAATGTCTAGTTCAACTGTAAGTCCCCAAGAACTCCACTATGAGTAGTGCCAGCTTCTGGAGAACTGAGACTATGGGTAAGTCATCCTTGTGTTTCTCCAGCTACAAGGCGTCTTGTAACGGAAGACTCCCAATCACGCTAACACCTCCAGTTCAGATAATCAATTCTCCCTGTAAGGTTCGAGTCCAGCAGCAACCTTAGAGACCAAACAAGATTTTCAGGGTATGAGCTTTTGAGAATCAAACCTCCCTTCGTCAGAGCTTTGACTCTTGAAAGGTCATGCCCTGAAAATCTTGTTGGGTCTCCAAGGTGCTTCTGGACTCAAATCTAAGCGTTCTACTGCAGGCCAACACGGCTACCCTCTGAAACTGTTCTCCCTCTAAGGAAACTGAAGTCTGCTTGGGAAGGAGACCATAGCCAAGCTCATTGAGGCCCAAAGGAGCCAGTTGATTGGACAACTCCAGAGCAGGGAAGGAAGACTGATGAAGTACTGACTCTTTGTTTGTTTCCCCCCCCCCCCCCAGAACTTGGAAGAAAAGCATTATCTGCGCATGCAGTTAGAGGGTAAAGTGGAAGAGTTGTGGAAACGCTTCCAACAGGCCTTGCGTAACTACACTGAGGCAACAGAGGACCGTAAGATCGCTTTTGAAGCCCTCAAATTAAAGGATGAGAAGAGCACAAAGGAGATAGAGATGCAGATGAAGAAATTACAGAAGATACAGGTGAGAGTTTCTTCTGAGGCTTATTGAGTCAGGGTTGATATTAGATTTATGGGCAATCCATCACAGATTATGGCACTACTGAAAGTCCCTTCAGCATAGCTATGTTCTTCCAAAACCATAATCAGTCTTCTGTGATTCAGTTCAGCCACATTTTCCCCCAGTCCATCATCTAGATTCCTAGTCAGTGATTTGGTTCATACAGGTCTCCCATAGACAATGACCCCACCTAGAATAAAGGTTTCACTGTCTTGGGTGGCCTGGAGTGTCCCATGTTGTCTGGATTGAGCTTCATTTTATTAGCTCTCATCTAGTCCACTATTGGCTCCAAAACCTGTTGAGAATGTCCAATATTTCACCCGATTCAGATGTGAAGGAGAAATAGAACTAGATGTCATTCACATATTGGTTGCTGCCAATATGCAAATTGGAGTGGTTTCAGATAAACTCTTCATATTGATATGAGCTACTCCGTCCTTATGGGTAGTGTGTAAATCCCAGCCAGGCTATAATTCCACCAATAGCCATTAAACTGATGGGGGGGTCAAATATATGATTTAGGATGGTGAAGTCTAATACAGAATGAGAAAATCTGAAGGATCCAAAAGACTATCAGAACTCTATCCTACCAACAGCTGAGTCTGGAGAGCTGGGATTGGTATGCGGGAATTCATGAAGTAGTAAATCATTATGGGCCTATTTTGTACAGATCATTTCTTTAACCATTAAATCTCTACCTGTTTCTAGCATAGGATCCAGATATCTTCTCTCAAAGTGCTCGTTTTCTGTTGCAATGACATTGCATTTTCCTATAGCCCGAATGTGCCCTCTCTGTTATTACCAGGACCTCATTCTCTCACTGAAGAACAAGATTGCAGCTCATGCACGGGAATGCGAGGAGCAAAATCGGCGGATCCGTGATGAGAAGGAGGTGGTGCTGAAGCATCTGCAGAAGCTCAAGAGTGAGATGAACCGGGCAAGAGCCAAGGCCCGCAGCAATCTGGCAAAGCTCACCATGGAGAGTTGTGCTACTCTCAAATCACTGCAGCGTGTGGTGGAGAAGGTGAAGTTTGGTGGACTCTTCTTCTTGCAGATTCAGAAAGGAAACTAAAGTAGGAAAACTGATGGTGGATAAAGAGACCATGTGTAAGTCTAGCCTCCAGATGTCACTGGATCTCTGAGTGTCCTAGGTATTCCCCAGAAGGGAATTTGGATACTAGTGGAGAAGTCCATGTTTAGAAATCAAACTGGATTCAGGTTCCTGATTTCTAAGGCAGGGAAGCACCAGAAACCAAGGTTTGTGGTTGCGTCAAGGAACTGCAGCCAATTCTTGCTTCCTGAAGCGTGTACAAGTATGATACATGTGTACCATGTATACTATCGTATGTGAAAATTGTGCAAAGTGTTTTTATTATTGTTATTATACTTCCGCATGCCTGATATTATGCACGTGGAAGTCATGGTGCAGAACAGCTGCACGATTGTGGCAAAAGAGACAGTTTGCACCACGACATACATAACAATGTAGACCTTCCTTTCTACATGGTATTATCTCAGGGTAGGAAAATTATGCCTGATATGACCTTGAAAGGTGAACACTCTCTTTCTGGAGATATAAAGACTCCTCGACCCAAATGCTGGAAACTCAAAACCCTGAACAACTATATAGATCCCACTGGATGTTGCTTTTTTAATCCAAACTGTCTGTGTGTAGTTCAGAGCCTGGCTCTTACATGGCTGTTGGAGATTCTAAGGCATAGGTGCCAAAACCGGCTTGTGGCTTCAGCATGGCATGGCAGAACCACCTCATCTGCAGCAGTCAAGAAGCATGGGAGCATCTGTCCAGTGGTGCACCCCTGGCTCTCCAGTCCACCCACATGGGTTTTCCTTTGCATCCCCCTCCCAGCCCATGAGTCCTTGCAGTGAGGATACACCAGTGTGGAGCTTACCAGCTGCTGTCCTTTATACAGTTTATATCTCCAGTACCTGGCATTATGTTTTATGGCACACATGGCCCAGCCCAACAAAGTGACATTTATGTCTGATCTGGCCCTCGTAACAAATGAGTTTGACATTTCTGCTCTAAGGGCTTATCTACATTACAACATTTTTGAAAGTATATACTAACTTGATTGTCATAGGTTCTTCTGAAAAATCCTGGGAACCAAACTTTTGTAAGGGGCCTGAGAATTCTCCAAGAGCTCCCGAAGTCTCCCTGAAATATTCCCAGAATTCCACAAACAGATGAAATTATTGTTAAACCACTCTTTAAGACTTTGCACCAGTGCAGCCCTGGAAAGCACAATCCTTTGCCAGGACTATAGGGGGAAGATGTATCTGATTGCTGTTTTCTGGCTTCACAGGCTGAGCTAATCCTACGCCTGGCTGAGATGTGCCGCAAACTGGAGTCGGAAGAGGAGAAGGTGCTGCCATTTTATGCCTGCTCCTTGGGCTGGGAGGAACAGAAGACTGTAGACATGGTGGCCCTGGAGAAACCAGTCGAGCCACTAGCTCAGGTGAGGGTTCGGGTGTATATCTGTGGGCACCACAGACAAAGAGGACACTGCTGGTTTGGTTTATTGTCTGGATCAGTCCTTCTTGAATTGAGCTTCCAGGGTTTTGTTAGAAGACGAACAGAGCTTCTTGTTGTTTTCTTGCAAAGGAAATAGTAGGGATGATGGGATTAAGAATGCTGAAACTTGCTCTGACCTGGATAGCCCAGGCAAGCCCAGTCTTCTCAGATCTCAGAAGCTAAGCAGGGTTGACTCTGGCAAGTACTTGGATGGGAGACCTCCTTGGAACAACAGCAGTTGGGAGGCGGGGGCATCCTTCATGCCCCCAGTAGGGGTCAGTCACCAGAGGTCACCATGACTTCCAGGTGCACGCACATACACAGGCACATACAAAAAAAGGCTGAAACTTGCCCCAATTTTGCCTAGTTTTTTTTCACAGAATGCATTTTGCTTGTTCCCCTGTCTAGACAGACACACAAACCCCACACACATACCCCACACACATACCCACATTGCTTTAGACTTAGACCATTGATATTCTGAGGTCAGTATTGTCTGCTGTGGCTGGCAGTGATTGTTCAGGGTCTCAGGCAGAGATCTTTCACATTACATACTGCTTGATACTTTTAACTGGAGATGCTGGGGACTGAACTGAGGGATGCTGTACTACTGAGCCATAGTTCCTCGCCTGACGCCTCCTGCATAAAGTGATGCTCCTCTTTGTGACTTCTGTCTGTCACTGAGCCACAGGAAATAACCTTTATAACTAGCTTGCTGGCTTTTTAGCCATTCAAAACAATCACCTTCTGATTTAGAATGTGTCCAGGAGCAGTCTGTGTCACACACAGCAGTCACCAGCTCCAAGCAGGCATTATTCCTACCCTGGCAAATTCCTGCCCATTTGTCCCCCCAAAATAAATACATGATATAAATGCTTCCAACCAGCCCAGACTTCTATTTTCTCCATGTCCTTTACAGATGATGGATGATTACGTGGGACTGGAACGCTTCTGGCAAAGGTACAATAAGGTGAGGCTGGAGCAGCTCTCGCTGGAGCGGACAAAAGCTGCACTGGCTCAAGACAACCAAAAGCTGCGACACTTGCTCAAGCAATACCTGGACGGCATCTCCGTGAATGATGAGGTTCTGAGCCAGATCAACCCACTAATGATCATCAACCAGCATACCGTTGTCCCTGCTCTGCCTCACACCGTGCCTGTCAGTGAAGCCCGGGTCAAGCGACCCATCTATAACATAGTGGAGGCAGCACATGAAGTGAAGCGTATCCTCTGAGCGACTCTGGGATTTTCATTCCCCTGCCCCAATAACAGGCCCTTAGGCAATGGGAAAGCCAAGCAGCCCATGTTTTGGGATCTCTCTCAGAGGGCTATTCCCACAAGAAGTGGCTATTAAAGAGTCAAACACAGCTGGGTGATACATCCTAGAGTTTTCTCTTCCTGGGCTGGCAAGCCCACTGAGCAAAGGGCATATGAGGAAATTCATGGGAGAATTTTACAGTTTACGGTGGGCCTAAATCCATCCTGCAACAGCCTCTATATGCGTTAATATTTGTTTGTACTCTTTTGTGAAGTGGCTGCAGCAGCATAATGGGGTCTGGAAATGTACTCAGGCTCTGACCTATTCCTATTCCCTCCATTTTTATTTCACTTTTCCTCTAAGAGCTCAGAAGAGAATATATATGAGTCAGTACCAAGATGGCAGCATGACCCTGTCGTACTGGGCACAAAACAATGTTGCTGGCAGTCCAGTTAGCCACCATGACCCTATGAGCTACTATGCATAGCAGTGACACTTGACTGTCAATTAAGCTTTTATCAATTTTAATGCCAGTTTAACCACCATAGCTCCCTGTACACATACTGAAAGCTGTAGTCTGTAAGGGCACTGAGAAGTTTTTTCATGATCCCTGGACAGAATTACAGTTCCAAGGGTTACCTGGGAAGATCGAATAATTGTTAAAACAGTAATCACAAAACTGTAGTATGGGGATTATGCTAACACAGGGACATGGGAACACTTTCAGTCAGGGCATAACTTGCACTCCAGACTTGAAACGTTTTAATAATCATTTGATCTTTCTGGGGGACCCCTGCCATCCCATCCGCCACTATGAACAGAGAGCACATGAGGTGCACTATAAGTAACTGTTAAGTGATGTGCATATATACACTGCTAGGATCTGAACTGGTGATGATTGAGCGGAAAAAGGAAGTTCAATTTGTGGTGGACAGTCCCATGGAAATGCCGACTCAGTGTGCAGAAGCAGGCTTTTTTTTAAAAAAATGACCAGTATCTTAATGACCTTGTGAACATTGATGGCACAGCCACATATGAAGTACAGATCTGGTCACTCCATCTCAAAAAGGATTTCACAGAGCTGGAAAAAGTACAGAAAATAATAACCAAAACTATCAAGGGGTCAAAATGATCAAGGGGCTTTTGAGTTCAGAACAAAGATGTTGAAGAGACAGGGCAAGGTTCATAAAATTATGCATTATATGGAGAAAACAGATAGAACTTTTTGTCCCTGTCCCATAATACTAGATCTCAGGAGCATCCAATGGAGCTGATTGACAACAGATTCAGAAAAGAACATAAATGTTCATGGAGACGAGCACTACCAGTATCTATTAGCCATGACATCTAATAAGGTTCAGAGGCTGTTTCCCTCTGGAAACTGACTTCATGCCCTGTTTGAGAGCTTTCCAGTGCAACTGGGTGCTGGCTTGAATGGATTAGTCTGATCCAGCAGGACTCATCTTCTTATGGATTTAACATAATACTGTCTCCTAGACACCCTTCCCCACTTAAAGGCTGTTCTAACTACTGGATCCCAGCAGATGAAGTCATATCCATTTGCATCTCCCTGGTGCCTTGCTAGAAGATGTCCAACCCTCCCAACTCTAACCACTGTCGTGTGAAAGTGTGAGCAACTCTCACCAGCAACAGAAGCAGCCATAAAGCAATGCTGGAAAAGGGAAGGGAAGCTTTATTTCATCTTGGCCTTGTTCCTCTTCTCCTCCTTCAGTTTCTTCTTGGAGATGGGGGGCATCCGGGCCTTCTGATAGAGGTAGTAGCCGATAAGCCCCAGAAGTGCTGGGACAAGCCCAATGCATAGCAGGGGCAGCACATCATTCAGCAACTTCTGCCCGTAACTCGCTCTGGAGAGCCCTACCAGTTCCACCTCAAACTGCAGGACTGCATCAGCTGGGGAGAGGAAGAGGCACCATGAAGCAGGGCTGGCAATGTAGCACCACTCTAGGCCAGGCCAGACTGTAGGTACAGGCCCCCTGGCACACCAGTCTAATTAGTCTGGAGAAGCCCTGCAACAGCTACAGCAGAGTGCCTACCTGGCAAGGGACACAGAACACCTACTGCCGCTGTGGGAGGAAAATGCTCCCTTACTCAGCACTGGTGCAGGACTTGATTGGCTGTATGGGCTACCAAGCAACGGAGCAATGGTCATTGTGGCTGAGGGCTACCACGGTTGACACACAGAGAGACACAGGCGATTGTCCAATTGCAGTGATGCCCAACCCTCCCAGCTGATTCCCAGAAGGCAAGCGCATATGCTCCCCTCACCCACTAAGCTAAGAACTAGATTGCGACCACATATGCATTTGTACACACAGCCCAAGGGGACTGCTGGTGGGTACAGGAAGCAATGGTAATTGTGGTGTGATGAATGCAGGGTCGCTTTCACTTAGGAGACTGGATGATATCTCACTCTTCCCCACTCCAGACACTAGCCAGGGCATGTCCATTCCTACCCCAGCTGGCAAGAAGTGTCATTTGGAGCTGTTTGTCAGCAATCCTGTGTGCTCAGCAACACTAACACCTTAACTACTGCTTCTCCCCCAAGCCTAGTTCCCATCACAGCTGACCGGGTTTCCTACATTTATCCCATCTAGCCCCACAGTTCCTGAATTTCTGCATCTTCGCCTTTGTTAAATCTCACTGGAAAGCAAGTTGAGCCGCAGACTGTAGAACCAGCTTATCTCTTTTTAGCTGTTTAGCTGTTGCCCCCATTTCTGCTGCTTGACTCATTTAGTAATGGGAAGAGAGCAATGAAATGGAATTGTCTTTTAGCAAAAAGTGGTAGTAGAATGCACTGGGCCAGCAGCACTACATTACTTTCCCCGCCACTTGTCTACACAGGAGAGTCATGCAGCCGGGCAGCAATCGTTTACATCTGGCTATCTTACAGCATCACAGTGGACTTGCTGCTTCAAAATCCCCATCCTATTTCATCTGCCTCCCCTTCCCCCCCTCCAGTCCCCCCCCCCATCTGAACATCTCAGATAATAAAAGCAGATAAGCCTATTTATAAAGACATACCCTGAGATCCTATACCAAGACATCTTGCCAATGAAATACCAGTGAATTGTGCTGAATGGCCACTGAGTAGATACTATTGATAGGATACTACCTGGGATAGCAGGTGGGGAGCCTCGTTTGCCATATGCCAAGTGAGGGGGGATAATAACTTTCCGTTTCTCCCTGCCACAAAGAGGAAAGGGGTCATCAGCACGTGCAGACTAGACATTTGCACCCAGCCTGTCAACTTCAGTAGGAATCCCCTCAGACACGAGTAGCTGTGCACAGAGTCTTTCGGTGGAATTTTTTTTGGTAGAATGGGGGCAGTGATAGAAAAGCTAGACACATCAGGCCTGCTTCTGGTATTAGAGTTCTCTATTTTTATGCAGGGGCTTGTGTGACTAGATGGAAGGCTACTAAACTTGATGACAGTGAACATTCCCAAGCTAAGAAGTTGAAGTCTTTTACAATAGAAATAGGAGAAATCATACCTTGTACTAGGGATCTGCATGAAGTCTTGGAGAAAGGATTCTGGATATGCTAAAGAATCCTCCAAAAGAGAGTAAAATATATGCAGATAATTCCTCCACTGGCCCTGACCATAGGCAATTCTACTTAAGTATTTATATCCTGCCTTTTCTCCTCATTGGGAGTCTCATGGCAGCTTGCATAAACACACATCCAAGCCAGCGTATGAACAAGATAATCTCATACCTTCAAACAAACCAAAACACATGTAAATACATAAAAACATTATACAATAAAAAGAGACTCAACTTTCCAACCTGTTCTCCTAATGCCACTATCCAAAGACTGTCCTAAATAGTACTACCCAATATGGCTTCCTGAAGGAAACCAGTGAGAAATATTTGCTGATCCTGACCTCTCTGGGAATGCTGTTCTAGGGCATGGGGGGGCTACTATAGGAAAAGTCTGCAAATGGCCTGAGGAATATCTCACAGCCCAGAGGGATGGTACAGTTTGCAAGAATTGCTCAGAGGAACAAAGTTGTCACATGAATTCACATATAAAGAGATGGTCATTTGCATACATGGGTGCTAGGCCATGAAGGGCTTTGAAGGTAAGAATCAGTACCTTGATGGGAACAACCACTTATGAAGAAGAGTGATATGTTCAAGCCAGCTAACTACAGTCAAATGATGAGGTGCTGCACTTTGGACCAATTACAGTTTCTGAGCTGTGTTTAAGGGCAGCCCCACGTAGTATGCATTGCAGTAATTAAGCCTAGCTGGATAAGCAGGCTCTGGAAGGGGAGGCAATTTCCATGGCTGATGTGACTGGGGGGGGGGGGGGGGGGGCTTTTTTCCACTTCTCTGGCAACAGCACTGGATCAAGAAGCAACCCCAGACCTCAAGAGTCACCAAGAGAAAGACTTGCACCATCCAAAGCAAGCAGCAAAAGTCCCTTCAGTTTGAAACTTATCAGTCATTGCTCACCCCTAAGAATCCTAGGAACCGTAGTTTGATGAAGGTGTCCAAGAGTCTCTTGTGAGAGAACTCAGCCTTAAAAAACTACAGGCCCCTGAATAAAGGAAATTACTATTAAACCAGTTTTAAAATTTTAATGTTTATACACTCAGAGAGTTACACAGCCATCTTTATAATGGGCTCAAGCCAAAGTGTTGCCATGGTAGAATGCTGGATTCAGGCATGATGAACCGAGTTCCAAGCCAAGCATACCAGAGGCTACTTACCCAACACACATGTCCAGCAGACTCTGTTCCAAGCCTAAACAAGAAAGAAACACACAGGAGGCAAGTTATGGAGATGTTTTTCTGTGGCTTTGTGCCCTCTCAGCTCCTTTGCACAGGGCCACGGTGGCCTAGTTTTCATTGAGGTGATAAACCTGTATTTGGGTAGTACACACACTGCAGGTAGGGGCTCAGAGGACAATGTTCCTCCACACACAAAAAGATAATGCACATAGAAAAACACCATGGCTGTGATCACACGTGCCTTTAGATCTGACATAGGTGTGAGTGCCTGACGGATCTAAAGGGGCAATCAGACAGCAACATCTGGGAAGCGTCCCATGGTCGTCAGCAACCCATGCTGCTCCGCCACAGAAGCGGAGTTAAAAGACACCAAGGAAAGTCCAGCTTTAACGGGTTCTGATCGGCCACAGACAGGCTTTCCCCTGTCTGATTGTGCAAGCACGCTCTCATGCCATTGGGATGGTCTGATCATGCCATCCTGGCTTGGGGCTATTCCCCCCCTTCTCAGTATGCACATCATCACATACTCCATAGGAGGCCCTCAGTGTGGAGGTGTGATTCCTCGTTTATGTGCATGGGAAACAAACGGCCAAAAAAACCCAACTCACCCACAGTTGTGTCTGATTGCACAGTGAGGGGCTGAACCCTCAGCTACAAAGGGAGGTGTGATCTCACAACTGCATGTCAAATTCTGATGGAGGAAATAGCCCCCTCCACTTCAACTGGCACGTGTGACCGCAGGCCGTGTCAAAGAGAGGCTAAGTTCAAACCTTTCTCCCTTGACGTCAGGTTTTCTATGTGGAAGAAATATATATATGTAGGAACATTCAGTCCTGTGAGACTCTGCCTGCAATATGGTGCAGCCCAAACCAACTCAGAAAGACTTTGCCTGATGTACCTAGTATCAAAATACAAATGCCAAAGGCATAACATACCAGGGATGACTTGTCTTTTGCCCAGCTCTACTTGCAGCGGATCACGGGCAAGCGAGCTGTCGATGATGTGGCCATCTTCAAGAGAACCCTGCAAAAGAACAACACTCTATACACCTGTCCTATTCGACTTGAGCAAGTGCCATCACAGCTCTCAGCAGCCACCACTTTTATATCTCAATTAAAAAAAACAATTCAAGAGGGAACATGAAAGCTTGTGGTTTTAAATGGTGTATCAAAGCCTTCAACTGTATATATAATTGTTCATCCTTTTAAAAATGGAATACCTCTAAAAGTAGTAGGTGACAGACCTCACCTTAGAAGAGGTGTTCCCTCTTCTGTCTCAAATAGAAGACCTCTTCTTTCAAGACAGTAACTCAGAGTTGCCAACTGTCCTGTCCCTCTAATAAAGGTTTAATGGGATTTATTTTACCGGGGGATGTTATTTCCCTCCATGACATGAAAAGCTTCACCCACCCACCCCGTTTCCACACATTAAGCCTCGATTTAGAGGAACAGGACATTTTTCTGCAGACTTCTTTGCAATCCTATAGTAGCCACATATATGATCTAAAAACAAAGAAGATATTTATCCTACAAAACAGTTTCCCTGTGCGGTTGTACCCATTTTAATGAACAGATTAATCTACTAACATCCATGCAATTCCTCAAATAAGTGACAGCACTAACAGATTCTTATGTCAATCTAAGCCCCTTCTTTCTCCAGGCCAATAAAGCTTGCTTGAAATAAAACATCTAATTCACTGTAGAAGATGCTCAGACAGGCTTTAACAAACCTCTGGGGAAAGCTCCAGAACTGAGAAGCCGCTTCAGAAACATCTAATAGAAACATTTGAAACGGGTTTATTCACTGTCCTACTAAGCTCTGTTCAGTGGGATTCACTCCCAGGAAAGCATTCTCAGGATTGCACTGTCAGTGCCTAACACAAGCCAGTCACTACTAAAAGCTGTGGAACATATTTTGCTGCCCTAAGCAAAAAGTAATCCTCCCCCAGCTTGTTTTATGTAGATGCACATTTTTCTTTGTCATTTCTGCCACTCCTTTGTCCCTTTTGCTTTGGGTCCCGTCTCCTCGTCCTCGTCCTCCCCCTCCACCCCCACTTTTCCACATATGTTTTTGCTCCCTCTGGGATGACTAGAGAGAGCAAAACACATGGGGGGGGGGGGGAAACCCTGATGCAATCGGGACAAACGAGTGACAAAAATGACAATGTGGAAACAGCCAATTAGTACATAGCCTCTTTCCTTTCCTCCTCTGACATCCGTCCCCTCACACACCGCCCAGCGTGGGGGAAACCCCGCAGCAGGCACAACTGCTGACGTGTTCTTGCGGCTTTCCCTTCCTCACAGGCAAGCCTGTGCCGCCCCTCGCCCCGCCCCGCGCCCTTCACCTACCGTGTAATGGATTTGAATTGTATCGCCCATCGCCGAGTACTCCGCGCAACCCTCGGGGGGCGGCACCTGCAGCAGCAAGAGCGAAGAGGGCGCGAAAGAGATTGCATCAGTTTGTTCCTGCAATACCAGGATGCCAAGAGGCTCTCTACTCTGCCACAGCTCGGATCAGAACGGGAATCGAGGGCATCCCTGACACCACACCCCCCCCCAAAACAAGTGTAGGCCCCCTCGGGGAACAAGCTGGACGTCGGAGAGCTGGGCTTTTCCAGGGAAGGGCTTTTCCCTTGCAGAACTCTGGAGCTGGGATCCACGTGCTTATCAACTCTGATCTTTGCAACTGTCACACGTTGCCCGGGGGTGGGGACAGGGACTCCGGCCGTGGATTTTAGCGGTAAGGCTTTCCTTTGACAGGGCTAAGGCGGCAGGCAACTGGCTGTGGGAAGGGAGGACCACAACCTGAGCGCACGGTTCCCCCCTCTGCCTTCCGGTCGCTGCAGAAGGGGCGCCCCCCGTGTCACACACACACCCCGCCCCCAGCAGTGGCATCAAGCGAGAGGGGGTTCATCCAGCCGGCCCACGCCACGCACACACGACTCACCAAGGTCTCCAGCTGCAGCGTTCGGAGCGGAGTTTCGCTTTTGCTTTCTTCTGCTTCCTCCTCCTCCTGGTCCGGGCTCGTAGCCCCCCAGCCCTGCAGGAGGAGGAGGCAAAAAAGGAGGCTGCTGCGGTGGCGGGGAAGCATGGCGAGAGGAGCTGAGAAGAAGCAGCAGGCCGGTGGCACAGAGAGAGCAACAGCTGCTGGGCTTGTACCTAAGGCCGGGGTGCTTTCCTGACGCCGCCTCCTTCTGCCCTCTTCCCCGCCCTAGAGGACGGAGCGAGCAGGGGCCCCTCGGAGAAGGGACGTCGGAGAGCTGGGCTTTTCCTTTGCAAAACTCCGGAGCTGGGATCCACGTGCTTATTATCAACTCTGATCTTTGCAGCAGTCACACATGGGGGGGGGGGGGGTTGGAGAAGGCGATGCCTGGAGAAGAGAAGAAGACCCTGCAGGGGGCAGCAAGAAGACAACTAGATAGGACAGCGAGGACAGCACCTTCTCTTCTGTTAAGTATCAGTCCTTGTTCCTCTCCAGATTGCTACTCTTAGGGCAATTTCCCTCTCCGAAGTGCCACATCCCCCACCAGTCTACTTTAGTCTCTCAGCTAGAGATGTGGTTAGGAACCTATCCCTCTCTCTCCTCTTTCCTCTCTCATATATTAGTGCCTAAATAAACCTTTATCCACTCTTTATCAGGTTGTGTATTCTCGCTGTGTTGTTAATTACTCTGCGGGCGGGGGGGGGGCACTCCAAGCATTGATTTTAGGTATGGCTTTCTTTTGACAGGGATAGGTGCCAGGCAAGTGGCTGTGGCTGTGGCTGTGGCTGTGGGAAGGCGAGACCACAGTCTGACTGCCATTTAGATTTGTATACCTCACTTTCCTCAGCAATGGGGTGCCAACAGGTGCTGCCCTCATTTTACCCTCACAACAACTCCTTGAGGTAGGTTAGGCTGAGAGAGAGAGAGACTACTGCTAGCCTTCCAGATCTTTGACTGAAAAGCCCTGTCTCTGGTAATCACTGGCTTCACCTCTGGAGGTAACCTAGTACCTTGTGAGTTCCATGTAAAAAAATAAGCTTAAAGGAACAAAAGATGTGGAGTCTGAGGAACAGTAGCTTGGAGAAGAATGGGAGGAGTGGAGGTAACAGCAGACTGAGGAGACCTGGCTGAAGAGAGCACTGGGCAGCACCCCAATGGAGGATCTGCTCCAGGCATCTGACGAAGTGGGCACACAAACTCATGCCCTACTAAGAAGGTGTTAGTCAGGGAACACACTTAAAAGGGCTGGTTGAAATGTTGGCCACACAAATATGCACAGAAACATGTAATAGTAAACTGAAGAATGTCCAATGTAAGTTATTATGTAGATATATGTATTGTAACTAATGTGAACATGGGAAAAGAGCTCAGGAAACTGGATGGAATTACATTTAATGGAGGCAGGGGTCATTTTGTAGAAAAAGAGCTGCAGGAGCTCATTAGCATAACTTATTAGCATATGCCACACACCCTGACATCACCCGCCCCCACTGCGGGCATCGCAGCTGCCGTCGAGAACAGCAGCGGCGACTATAACTTTTTTAAGAGCCCCTCCTGAGAGCTGGGGGAGCCAGAATGACCTCTCACATGTGATGGTGGAATGACCTCTTGCATGTGATGGTGGAAATTCCACACGCTAGAGGTGGAATTTGCCCCTACGAGTCCAAGGCCACCACCCTGGGGCTTTGGGAGGCAAGAGAATGTTTCACCCGCCCCCCCCCCACGCGGGCGTAGCAGCTGCCGCAGAGCACAGCGATGGTGGCCATAACTTTTTAAAGAGCCCCTCCCGAGAGCTGGGGGAGCCAGAATGACCTCTCGCGTGTGATGTCCGAGTGGCAACGCTGCACATCACACGTGAGGTGGAATTAGCCCCTACGAGTCCAAGGCCACCACCCTGGGGCTTTGGGAGGCAAGAGAATGTTTCACCCGCCCCCCCCCCCACGCGGGCAGAATGACCTCTCGCGTGTGATGTCCAAGTGGCGAGGTGGAATTTGCCCCTACGAGTCCAAGGCCACCACCCCGGGGCTCAGGGAGGCAAGGAAACGTTTCGCCCCTCCCCTCCCCCCGCGTTGCAACTGCCGCTGAGAACAGCGGCAGTTGCCATAACTTTTTAAAGAGTCCCTCCCGAGAGCTGGGGGAGCCAGAATGACTTCTCGTGTGTGATGTCCGAGCGGCAACACTGCTCTGACATCACACGCGAGAGGTGGAATTTGCCCCTACGAGTCCAAGGCCACCACCCCGGGGCTCAGGGAGGCAAGGAAACGTTTCGCCCCTCCCCCCCGCGTCGCAGCTGCTGCTGAGAACAGCGGCGGTGGCCATAACTTTTCAAGGAGCCCCGAAGGAGAGCTGGGGAAGCCAGAATGACCTCTCGCATGAGAGGTGGACTTTGCCCCTATGAGTCCAAGGCTACCACCCCAGGGTTCAGGGAGGCGGGGAAATGTTTTGCCCCACCCACCGTGTCCCAACTGATGGCTGGTGGGAGCAGGGGGTGGGGCTTATGTGCCCTCCCCCTGGGCTCCTGACTGGCGGAGCGGTGCTCCGGTGCGCTCCGGCAGGAATCGAGGCCTGAATGGTGGTATAAGATAATAGGATTCAGAATAGGAGGTAATTCTTGGTTAGCAATTAGGTATAATCAGAGGTCATTTCGGGGGGGAACGCGGGGGAACGCAGTTCCCCCGGGTGAGGTGCAGGGGGGCGGGGCACATGACGAAGCCCCGCCCCCTGCTTCTGGCCGCCCCGCTTCTAGCCCTCATTCAGCCAGGAGGAGGCAGGAGAAGAGGGAGGGTAAGTTGCTTCCTCCCCGCCTCTCCCCACCCCTGCCTGCCTGGGGCCAGGGAGGGCCTTGGCGGGGCTTCCTCGCACTCCTGCTGGCCTTGCAGGTCCACCGCCGGGCCCCTGATGTCAGGGGGTGTGGCATATGCTAATGAGTTCCCCTAGCTCTTTTTCTACGAAATGACCCCTGGGTATAATAGGAGTTAGTGGATTAGTTTGAGAACACTTTCTATTTCTAAATAATTTGGGGGGGGAATAATATAGTAGATTGTGGAAAATAAGAACAATATTCTGTATTGTTCACTACAGGAATTAATAAATTGTGAATTTAAAAAAACGTACTAGTTAAGAGTGACAAAGATGACAGCAGGTGTAGCTTTCCCGGCAAGACAAGCTTACACCAGCCAGTTTCTGTTTACATAACTACTAATGTTACTAAAGTACCATTAATATTAATATTACTAAAGAATGGCAAACTGGGAGGGGGAAATCCTTTTCAAAAGCCTGCCTGGTGTGCTGGTTAGAGTGTCACACTGTGATCTGAGACACCCAGGTTAAAATCCTCACTCTTCATGGAAGTTCACTGGGTGGTCATCAGTCACATTCTCACAGTCACAGGGTTGTTAGGAGAATAAAGTGGAAGAGAGGAGAATGGTACCATAAGCTGCTTTGGATCCCTGTTATGGAGGAAAGTGGTGCATATATATCTATATGAATAAACAAAGGCCCACCATGCTACGACTGGGTGACTTTGGGCCAGCTACCACCTCTCTACCTAGTGTATCTCACAGGGCTGTTGTAAAGATAACAGGGGGGGGGGGGAACCATTTATCCCACCTTGAGCTCCCTGAAGGAAAGGTCAAATAACCATCAATAGACCAGATATAGCCAACCTGCTTCCTGGGCATCAGGCAATAAGCAGAAATGGAGATCCAGCATACCTGTGCCACAGCTACAAAACTACAGACTCACCAACTGCTGCCACTGCAACTAATGTGAAAAACAATACACACATCGCTCTGAGCGTACAGATATCTCAGTTGTGTTACAGTTCATTTCATATCCACAGTTGTCTGCAGAAAGCCTGTAAATGGCAACGTGCATTCAGCTAAAAAGTAAAGACAACCAACAGTCCTGGATTGACCGTTAAGCAAAACAGGCAGGTGCTTAGGGCACCAAGGGAAGGGGGGCACCTTGGATATTAAATTTTCTCAGTCATTCCTTCTGTTATGGCTCTTCATGAGAAATTACAGGTGGTGGGACCACTAGCACCCAGGAGGGGGCAGGAGGGGGCAACTACGCGACAAGAAAGAGTGGATGCCTTGTCTCTGCTAAGTACAGAAGCAGATTTGTTACACCAGATTAGTTTTGAGGACTTGATCAAAGACTTTACAATTTTAAAAAGCAGGAGAGAACTTTTAAAAGTATAAATAAAGTTATAAGTAGGCAACAATAAGCATTATTTTGCATCTTTTTATCCATGTATATGGAAATGCTATATATATTCAAGGTAATCAAGGCTAGAAAGCAATGGAATAAAAGATGTTTCATACAAACATTGATATTTCTCCATTAGAATTTTTTTAAATTGTCCACCAACATTGATTTCTGTAGAAAGGATTTTAAAAATTGAAAAGCATGCTCCTGAGATCATATGATTTCTGTAGAGATAATATCAGATCATATTTTGCCTTATAATCTTTGGGAGGTTGATTCAAATAGTTTTCAATATATTTTTTGTATTTGTACTTTTTTGCTTGTAACAATTTTATTTAGAAATGCAGTTAAAACGTGTTGAAATTTTGCATTTTTCCTGTTGTCTAATTGTAAGTAAATAATTTGCTTAGATTGCTTACTGTTATTTCTTGTTAAATAAATAATTTTTTTAAAAAAAGTTTATATTTGATGTAGTTGTGAAAACTGAATTTTTAATCTCTTATTTCACCTTCAGCACTTACTGAGTCTTAATGTCTTGTTGGTTAAGCAATGTCAGGGCCCAGGGGCACCGTTGTTGGGCTGTGCTTAGGGCATCAGTTGGCCTTAATCCAGCCCTGGTAACCAACCATACAGAATTAGAAAGACTGGGCAGTTCTACCCAGGGACTTGCTTGCAGACACAGATTGTATTTGTATTATGAAAACTGATATAGAAAGTAAACATGTTGGTGACTGTCACCTTGTCTATGTCCCAAGAAAGTCACCAAAAAGGAAAAGGTCATTTCTAGAGCAAGAGCCAAAGGATTTGATCCTGGAGGGCTTTGAAGGGTAGAAACAAAACAGAAGATCTGTGGGGGGACGATTTCTAAAACCCAAGAACTTGGGCATGTCTGGGTTCTGAATTGACTCAAGTAAAGAAAACAACTACTGCAGTATGTCATTCACAACTGGGAAAATATTTGAATTCTTTGTC